AATATTTGCCTCCCCATCTCCTTGCTCATGTGTTGTGATGGAGCCTGATGGCAGCACCCTGCCTCCAGAGAGAAATCCTGCTCAAGGACTAGAGAATCAAGCCTTAAAAATAAGTACTGAAGAGCAAGAGATAGAGTGAAAGTTTTGAATTTTTGTTTGTTCTTTATTACTGTGATCCTTTTTTCTCCCCATGGAACTGTTCCTTCCTGCTATTGCACTGAATTAGCTTGCTGAATACATCTAACATTTTTCCTTCTCAGATCAATAACTAATGTTAATAAATAACTCCTCAGAATACTCTTATGAAATAGATATGTGTTTCCTCCCTACTGAAGAGCGCTCTGGAACAGAGGATCATAGTTAAACATAGGACCAGGGCTCAGGCTTCACCACTGTGCTAAGGCCATCAAGTCATCCTTGATGTTCATAATAGCAGTGGTGGAAATAACTGCTCATGTTTAAAGCTTTTTTGCTTTACATAAAGTCCAAGAAATGCTGTTCTGCAAGTTTATTCTGGAACTGTATGAATGCACAGATTACTCATAATGTAGGCATATATTTAAGAAACTGCAAAACAGTATGGAATACTCGCTGCCTTGGAAAGCCTCTTCATTTACCTCTGTACGTCTGGAAAAATCTTCTTACAGCTTGGATCTGGTCTGGTCAGTGCAGCCTCCTGTCTTACCTTCCATTCATCTACCCTGGCACCAGGGTGGGAAACAGACACTCGCAATATCCTTCCTTCATTTTCTCTTAATTTTTGTTTTATAAATTCTATATATTCTGGAATAGAGGCTCTGAACTGCTGAACTCAGACTGAAGTCAACTCTACTAATGAGCTCATTTATATTAATAGGATATCAACTGTTCCTTTTTGCTGGATTCCCAATGGAACAGCTGATGGTCTGCTTTATTCCATGTTGGCTTTATACTTCGACAGAAATGCCTCAAAAACATTTGTTTGCTAGAAAATCTTAGTGGAAGCCAGTACTGCTGATGTGAAAAACAAGAGAATAGGGAAAACCACAGATTCTTCTGGTCAATTAGACCTTTGGAAAGTAGTCTAATCTTTTTCATATGATTAGTCAGCTTGTAATAGCTGCCTTCCAACAAATAGCCTCATGATTTCTGGTGACTAATCCTGAAAAAAAAAAGGAGAGAGTTAGAGCTATGGTTACGTTATTTGCCATGAGCTTGAATTTAAGAGTTTGGACGTTGCTGATATAGCATATCAGCCTAAGATTCCTTTTTCTTTCCTGGTCTAACTGGTGAGTAACAGCTCTTTGGAGATGATGGATAAGAAAGGCTACATTGGATAACTTATGGGCAAATCTATCTATGGGGAATTAATCATTTTTGACTTACACCACTAGAAAAGTGCTTATATACTTTCTATTTCTTTGTCTTTGTTTTTTACCTGAGATTTTCTTTTCCATTTACTTGCCTCTTCACACTCTTCAGAGCTCCAGGGACATCCAGACATTTCCATTAGCAGGGAGGGCAGTGCATAGCTGGTATGAGACCGAGAGCAGCGTCACCCCAAACATAGAACAGGCCCCAGGGCTGCCCAGGGCAGTGTGTGGAGCCTAACAGCAAGCAGATTGCACATTTGCATAATGATGCAAATGAGTGATCTGATCACAGCAGGAGTGTCGTGTCTTGGCAAACCCTCATTACCATTGCACAATGCTGGAAATCAGCCAGGAAGGTTTGGGAAGAGGTCATCTTCCCATGATAAGCCTTGAGAGAGATGAACTCTTGTGGGCTTTGCTTCCTATGGAGCTGACTGTGAGGGAAACCCACAGCCTTGGTGCCATCACCTTCCTCCATGGCTCAGCTGAGTGCATGGTGTGATCCACGCCGTGTTGGCTGTGCTGGGGTCCCTGCAATGAGTGACAGCAGTTTCTGTACAGTCACACAAGCACTCAGATTTACCAAAGGTTTGGAAAGTAAGTGCATGTTTGTATGGCACTGGAGAGGTTTGACAAACTCTACCTCAGATTCCTGCACTATGGAGACTTAATTTCTTCAGGCATTTTTGGCTTTGCCAGTCTCCCATGTTTCAGAAAATAATGTCTCCAATTTATTGAATCATCTGGTTATTAAATCTGCCTGTAAAGAGGAGCAAAAACTAGACCATGAACATCTATGGGAATTCATTTTTATTAAATAATTTAAATTTACACTTTCTCATGCCTGGATCAATCTCATTTGAATGTCCCCTAGCGTTCTTCTCTCTACTGTTTGGAAGAATGCTAGAAGCTAAATCACTGTGCAGTTCATTTTTAGACTAATTATCATTAGGGCATGAAAGCAGCATTTTACATTACATGTTTTTTTCAGTTCAGCAGATAGACCGATTCATTTTAGCTTCCATTACTGTTAACCACATATCTGCCAACACTACCAAATGCCACTGGGTACAGCAAAGTGTAAGTCTACGTTTAGATGAGACTTGTGGGTTCTTTGTTTAGTTACATAGGGATTAAATGGCATGATGCAAAGTTGTGCAAATTTGCTCTTCTTTTCCAAATCTAAGGTTGATGCTCAGTGCTTGTGTTCCTAACCAGAAGCCACAAACTTTCATTGCTGTGACACATTAGTCTCAGCTTCTGCTTGGCTGGTTGCAGATGATACTCTGGGGCAAATTTACCTCTAAATGCTCTTGCCTGCTGAATAATAATGATGTCGCATTTCTTAGTCACTCAATTTCTTTACAGAAAGGGGTAAGGAAGGTAAGCAGAAAGAGATAGAATGGAAGAACTTCTCCATATTTTATAAGCAAAGATCTTCCTACAAAAATCCTTGTAAATTTTTTAAACTGTTACTGGCTTTTCTGAAATGAACAAAATATTCAAAACCTGAACTTTTCCTCATGTTCATTAATTCTGAAGTGCCTAAATATCCTCTTTGGTCTTGGTGACACAGTGTGATGTTACATGGAAACTGGAATGTCCCCAGAGAATGCAGTGACATCTCCAGGAGCAAAGTCTGTGCTGCACCATCGCTATTTTCAGCAGCTCAGCTTCCAGCACCATTTGCCAAGTTAAACTCTGGAAGAACTCCACTGGCTTTATTAAGGAAAGAATTAAAAGTAATATAAAAAAGTGCCTGTGGCCAACGCTCAGCGTGCACTTACCAGATCTTTCCACAGTGTATATTTCCATAGTGTACATTTAATATTTGTTTTCTGACTCAGTTGTATGATGTAGAGTGCTACACTGTGCCATGATACATACTGTGTGGGTCTGGGCTGCTCCTTGTCCCCCTCTGCCCTTAAGGGTGTTGAGCAGAGCTGTGTGAGCCCCGCTGGTGTTGAGGGGTTTCTGGGGCTCCTGTGCCCCAACTTGGGGTGTGTGCTCCTTCACCACATGCTTTTGTTTGATTCATATTTGGGATGACTGGCTGACTCGGTGCAGGGAGGATGTAGGCTTGCTCTGGATGTTCAGAGAAACAGCCTTCATTAAACAGATAGGGGCAGATTTTGTAACAGGATGGTGTACAGTGTGAAGAGGAACAAAAAACCTGCCAAGTTTAGCATAAATAAAAATCACAGGAAAATCCATCCTGTTTGGAAGAAAGAGGCAGTGAGGTTATTGGTGGTGCTCTGAAGTGGCAAAAAGTGCTGTGAGGAACAGCTGGGAGCAGCAAGGGCCAGAGGGCTAGGCAAAGCAGAGAGTAATTCCTGTAGCATACTTTAACTAGGAAAAAAATATTTAATATCTGAAGATTTGGCACACAATAATGAAGCACAACGCCTGAGGAGATAGGCATTATTTTAATTTACTTGATAAAGAAAATCAATTCAGAGAGAAAACCTCCTTGGACAGCATAATTACAGTAATGGATTATAATTCAGGAGCTTGCATGCTCAGGCTGGCAGGCAAAAAACAGAAAATCATTAGCAGAAAGTGGAAGAGGAAGACATATGTTGTAGGAATGTCTCCACTTTCTGGTTCTTCATTTGTAAACTTCCCTTCAAGTTCAGTGTCTTCATCTTATTAGACGTCATTGTCACAGCTTGTAATAGAACACTCCACAAATCATTTAGATTTTTTGAAAAAGATCTAACTGAACTAAGAATGAACACAAGTAACTGAAGAAATATGCTATTAAAAGGCAATGCATGTACCTCACTTGTGCATTTAACCTCTCGCTCTCCATTTGTAGCTCTGGTGGCTGTATAAAAAAAGATTTGCAGTTGTGCATTTCTTAGTCTTTTCCATTGGACTGGTATGTGCAATTTCTCTGCCAGGTTGCATGTACTGCAGAGCCACACAGGGATGTTTTCTAAAAACAAGCTTACATCTTTTTGCATTTTAAAATGGCCATAAAGTGTTTTAGTTAACTCTGTTTCTGTAAACTGGGGGAGTCAGATTAAAGCTTGGGCGACTCTTGCAGAATATTTCAGCATAAGAAACGTGTTGTAATCAATTCAAAGAGAATATTCTTGAGTAGTTCAAATTTCCTTTGCTCTGATGACTTTCGTTATTGAACCAAGCTGCTGCTTAACCTCAGAAAGAGAAAACTGCAGTGGCTCTATCAAGAGAGTCCAAGCTTTTGCCCCAGGCAGCAGCAAAATAACCTGTTTGCTTTACTTTCACACCCAAAACTCTTTGTCTCCAAACCTTGGCTGTTTTCCCATCTGTATCTGGCTCTGCAGCTGCGTGCTTGGCAGCGAGATGCCACATCAAGGTGTCTGGTGAAGCTGGGAGATGCTAGGTTCCCGAGCCCAGACACAGCCACAGAGGTGAAGGTGGGCTGTGACCTGCCAGGCAAGGGCTGGATCATGCAGGTCTGGGCACCGAATCTGTCAGCCTCAAAGCAGAAGGTGTTGAGCTCAGCGCTGCTTTCCTGAATCATGGCATTATCCGTGAGCAAATAACGTATGTCTAAACCTGCTGTCAGCTGCAATGAGCTAAAGCAGATGCTCAGTGCCAGCTGATGGTGGTTATATTTTTGGCCAGCAAATATGACCAGGAAACAGAGCAAATAAAGGCTTTGGTTTATCCATACCTTTTTATTTATTTCTGTAGTCTGTAGTAAGGGACCATTGCTTTAAAATCCTTAGACATTTGGACATATTTTACAAGACAGTACAGTTTCTGAATGTCACACATTGATCACAGTTTCATACTACTACATGCATATAAAGACATTGATTTTTTTTTTTTTTTAATAATTTGTTTGTGGAAACAATTGGAGAGGTCAATAAACTTCAACAAAGAATGACTAAATCAAAGTTACAAAAAATGTAAGACTCTAAGTACGCTAGTATATGGCTAATGTTGCTGTTACCACCCCAAAATACCAGGGTGTGGAAAAGTTACTTAAATGGGGAGAAAACATCTGCTGATGCATGCCCCTTGGGTCAGCCCAATGTAACCCAATGAAGGGATTGTGCAAGATGTGTGGGATCTGCTGGGCTGTAGGCAGAGGCATGACACTCTGCCTTTTGTTATATACAAGCTGAGCTGGATTCCCCATTGCTTCCCCACATTGCTCAGGTTAAAACATAACTGAAGTGCAAGGCAATGGAGAAAGCTTTCATATTCTGCTCTTTCTCAAGCTGGGTCACAGTTGTTTTCAATTTCCAGCTGCAAAAGCAACATGTGTGCAGGAAAATCACGGCAAACTTGCATTTTCCAGTTTTTATTTGCTGTTGAATATCACATCTTTCTTTTAAGGGAACCCCACGGCTTTCTTGTCCTTTAGCAATCATGGTTGCCCATCAAGGTTTCCCTGGGGAGTGCTGGTTGGGTTGGCCATTGGTTCAGTGACTGGCAGAGCAGCACAGCTCAAGCAGTTGTCCTGTGCTTTGTCAGAAGGAAGATCTGGGGCTGTTCCTTGGCATGATGAGATGCCAAGCAACTGGCATGCAGCACAGACAGCCCGGCATGCCACACTGAGCACGGAGTCGTCACCAAGCAGCACGTGCAACAGTGCTTTGGTTAGTGTTTTCTCTCCATTTAAGAACTGCTTCACTGGCCTGATAGAAAGCAGGATTTTTCTGTACTAGTTGGGGCATTATTTTAATGCTAATCTAGCTGGAAAGCAAATTTGGTTGGTAGCTGTGGCTGGCCTTTCTGAGTGCAGTATCATGGCTTCAGAGTTCTAAGTAATACAGAGATGCTGCCCCCACCCCAAACACATCAGTGGGGAGCGCTTCAGTGTGGGAGCAATTCTGTACACTCACCACCAGAGAACCAGAAAGAATTGGAGAAAATAGATATGTCGTCTGTCTGTCACAAGACAACAAAATCGATAGAAACAAATCCCAGTAGTTGCATGAGACTAAGGGTGGCTAATGGTACTCAGGAGTAGCTGAAAAACAGAAGGAAGGGGAGATTCTAAAAGAAATATGGTGTTTAGAGTAGAACTGTTGCATCCTAAGATGGCCTTAACTGCAGATTTCCAGTAAGACTGGAGGTTGACACAGTCAAAGATAACTGATGGCCCATGAGCCAGTAGTGTCCTCCTGGCAACAACCAGTCCCTGGACTGGGTGCTGCCAGGGTTGAACCATGTGGTCCTGTTGTAGACAGTCATTTGTGAGTTTGGGATGCTGCTTGTGCTATGAAGCCCACAAAGTGAGTTGACACAGAAGGCTGCTCAGTCAAGGCTGGCATGATAAGGATGATAATTTTCCTCTTGTGTGAAAGATTTCCTTCTTTCCCAGGCTTTCACTGACCTGTCTCTTCCCATTCCCTCACCTCGTTTCCTTGTAGGTGCTGTGGACAGACAACTCCATCCCTGAGGTCATGCAGAGCCTGTAGTTTTCAATTAGCTTTTAACAACAAGGGTCCAAATTCTTTACTGGGCTAAACTGAGAACAGCTTCATTTACCTCAATGGGCTTTACTCGCAGCAGCAAATAATTCAGCATTTCATTCAAATTCAGCTCCCTGGCATCTCACAATGCTCTAGTTTGGGTGGCTCTTTGCACTGAGCCCAAACTGATTATTACTTCTTGAAGGTGGCATCCTTGCAGTCTTCAAAAGACCCCTTTAAAAATGTCAAAAGTTAATCCTTGTTCAATCCTACAGAATATCAATAGTATTATTTCTGGATAAAAAGAAAAATGAAGGTTTCTCTTCTAAGCCTCTAGACTGAAGATTTCTTGTGCGATGAAGCCAGAAGCAAGCAAAGCAAAATTCTGAGTAGTATTTACAGATATGAACACTTGTGGCACCCTACCGTTGGTGTCAAAGGACACTTATTTGTGGCTTAGGTAACACCAGCAACAAAGGGGATACACATCCTGAATGCAAACATTCAGCTTTCCTAAAGTTTCCTTTGTCTGGACAAGACAAAGTTTCAGTGCAAGAGCCTGGATCTGGTCAGCATTGGGTGCAAAACACAAGGCTGAAAAATAAACTCTTCCTCATTGATGGGCTGGTTGGTATCTGGGTCATTTCTGTTTTGGTGGGAGGGCTACCTGCAGGAGTAAATTTCAGACTGGCAAGACTAGAAGCTTGCTGTAGTGTGTTTAAATACATTCAGACGAACTTAGTGATATGAAAACTCCATTTTGAAGAGATTTATGGGATTTTTTATGATGGATATAATGGATTATTGCACTAGTTTTTTTTCAAAAGCAACCAACCAGCCAAAAAACCCCACCCAGTTTTAATCACCTTCCGTGTAAATAAGTATTGCTGATACATAATCAGATACCAAACAGTTTCTGATGGTTATACTGCTCATTCGGGTGTTACCAAGACTTTCTGAATACACTGTATTCCCAAATTAATTAAATTATTTCAGATTTACTGGGTATTGTGGTGAGCATATAAAAAAGTCACAGAAAGGAGATTGCTTTGGAGTAAGAACAGAAAAAGAGACCAAAATTCTATCTGTGGAAAAAAATTGTCACTGAACAGACTGTTGGGCTGATTCAAGCCAAAACTTTTCTGTGGAGTTAAAGGACAATCTGAATCTCTTCATCGTGCTAGACTTTGACAGGCCATGAGATGCACATTTATCTCATGGACTTTCTATTAAATTTGTGTGATGGTACAGCTGTGAAGGAGCAAGCAAGATCACTAGGTAAGCAGGTGCATGAGTGGTCTTCACCTTAGCCAAATCCTGTCCCTTCCTGAATGTGTACATGTTCTGTTTTTTTTTATTATCTTACTTTTTTTCTTTTCTTTTTTTTTTTTTTTGTCAATTTCTTGATTTTATCTGGGACTGAAAGTAGAAATTCCAAAAACCCAGTGAGAAATAAGTCTTGATCCTTCTGTTTTAACCCAGGGAAATTTCCCCTGGATGTAGAAGCTAGAGAGGGAGTTTTGCCTGAGAACTGCTAGGTCACTGCCCTTGAAATAAGAGTCTGACTTTTCTATTTTGATTAAAACTGGAATGAGATACTTATCCCAATTCTATCATAATAATTAGGACAATCAGATTCAAATCCTGTCTCTTCATGCTCTCATCTTAATTGATGTAAATCTGGAAAAACTCCACTGTACCCAGGCTATGGTTAACGCTGAAGCCAGTGGCATTGGCTGTTATGTACCAGTACTGCCATAACCGAGACAGTTTGGCCACTTCTTTGTTTCTCAGAAAGTACAACTTAGTTTCCATAGCCAATCCCTGGCTATTTTTACACACCACAAATGGGAAAATACAAAAACATGACAACATCAGACAAACTTCATGACCTTTCGCAGACTCACTTCCAGGAGGGATGTTGCGGGTGTTTTCGGAATGAAGGAAAATGATGACAACAAAAAAGTTAGGGGACCAGCTATGTAAATGAACAAGAAAGCATATAATATATTATTCTGTAATACAAAAAGAAGAGATCTGACTTGATTGCCCTATTATAAATTTGCTAAAAATACATATATATATATTTATATTTTTATATATATATATAATTTTTTTTTTATCTGAACAGAAAAATAGACTACTCTGGAATGCATGAAAGTCACATGACTTTTCCATACATCAGATACTTATAAAGCCAACACAATGGCAAACAGAAGGTACAGAGGTAACTAAAACATCTGTACTTTATTCAAGAACTATTTAAAGCCATATTCTCCCCAAGTGGCTGATCCTAAAGCAACCTAAGGTAACACTTGTTCTGTTCAGTTACCATAAGCAGAAGTGACTGACCAAACACGAGCGCTTTGATGAAGAAGTTGGGGCCAATTTGGAGCCGCTGGGAAGCCCACCTCCCCATCTTGCTCCTGACTGAGCTGCACGAAGGGCATCAGTGCCATGCAGTCCCCATCACTCTGCTGCTTTACTCAGTAATTCTACTGCTTGCTTTAAAATGAGGCATAAAGAACTATGGGAGATTGTGTTATGGGGAACTTACCAACAGAGAGAGAACTTGGCTTTAGAGACGTTGTCTTTGTAATGAGTTTTAAATACCCTTGTGGTTTACTATAAACTGTACCAGTCATAATTCTGTCAAGACATAAATATACAATAGGTACAAATATTAACAATACATTACAACTTTACAGAAGAGAATACTGTTTTCCTTAGAAATGTGTATCTTATTAGCTGCAAGGGAAGAAAAGGCTACAGTTTATCACAGCCATAGTTGCCAAAGAACCCAACCGCCTTGGACTTCTTCCTGCGTGCCTTGCACAGACAAATTCCCAGGCATGTGACACTCGGCATGTTGAGAAAGGGAATGTGCGTTCCATGGGTTTTCTTTTCCTCTTTATTTTTTTCTTCTTTTTCTACCTTTATAGACTCTCAAACCTTTCAGAAAACGTGGATTTCACAGGAGACTGTTTCGTTTTATTTAGTTTTCCGTAAGTGTGCTTAGGTGAAGTTTCTAAGAAAAGGCACTGAGAAATCTACTGCAATAAGTGACTGCTGCTTTCCTTTGTTCAAGGCTAAAACTCAAAGGATCTTCGTTTGCTTCCTAGTTAAGAAAACTGCACCCATTCCTCCCGCAAATATATATATTCTATATATATATATATATTTATATATATGTATTAAAAATGGTGTTGATGGCATAAGACACAAGCAAGAGCAGACATCACACGTACATAGTCCTTTCAGATACGATGTCTTCTGCAGCAGCAGGTGAAACTGTCGTCTTGCTTGATCCAGGATACACAGTAAGTTCACAGACCTGAATGCCACTTGTCAGTGATTAAACTGCACACTTCAGCTTGATGCAAGAGATATTGCATATTTGCTCCTACTTTGATGAGCTCTGGGAGATATGTACCAAACAAACTATAAAATGAAATTGTCTTTCTAGTATCTATAGGATTTAGTGAGCACTATGTTTTCAAAGCACTGCCTTTCCTTTTGTAATGAGTACAGATTTAGTCTACCATAGCTTTACATTAGAGTAGATTTCCCAGTGCTTACATTATATATATGTGTATTATGCACACACACACATATATAGGTACATACTTCATAATCAGACTTTATTTCATTAAAATAAATTAAACATACTTCCTTTTTAACTGGGCACAAAATGAGAGCTACATCTTCATACACAAATAAGAAAGAAATGCTCTTCAAGCATATTATATGCTCAATTTTAAATTATTTGCTTTCTATAAGAAATCTATAGGACTTTGGCTATTCAGACTTAAAAGGTAGATTTTTAATGATACTTTTGAATTTGGCTTTCAAAAGTGACTCAATAAAATGCTACTTTAAAGGTAGGACTAAATAGATGATATAAGATATGTGTTGTAAGTAAACACACAAGGCAAACAGAGGGCCTTTGGTTACAAGGAGAGTTGCACCAGTTGATTATCAGTTAAAAATGATAGAATCGTTGATCTATACATTTTTGTCAGTGCCATCTATAAACCAAATACATCAATTTGGATGAAAGTGTGGTAAATACTACACTATATGGCTATATTTAAATATGCTCACTTTTGTGATATGTAAAATATGACTTTTTTCCACATGAAAGCATCAGCTCTAAAAATATTTAGCTTGGAAATCACTATTACTTACTTTATCAAAAAAATTGTCCCTGATTTTTTTTTTTTTCTTTTTACATTTGTGCTGATGGCAGACATGAATGATCACTGAAACATAGAGGTTATGTTAAGACTGTTCTCGTTAAAATTTCTCATTGCCAGTCTATGGCCTCGGAAAGCCATAGAATAAATCAGTATTTAAAGCTTATCTGCTGGAAAGTCACTTTAATTCTTCATAACGACTCAATCTTAACTAGCAATACGTCAGTTCCTTTAAGTACACTTGTATTTACTATGGCCAAATCCTAAAGTCCTTCACCAGGCAAAGAGCCCATTTGGAGGAATGGTGGTTTTGACTGAGTGAAGACAGAGCAAAAGCTGAGGAACCTCAGGAATTGGCCCTGTGTAAATACCCTGGAGAGCACAGTTTGCTCGCACCGAGTTCGAGCAACTCACTGAGTTCGAGTACCTCCCACGTAATTCTCTGCATGACACGAGGCCTCTTCCACTGCCAGCGGGCGAATTCATGAGGTGGTGGCTCAGGTCTCACTTGCGCATTCCCTAGGGCCTGTCCTTGCAGGAGGCAAGGAGGACGTGTGAGCAGTGCCTTGGGCTGCATCCCACCGCCAGGAGCCCAGTGGGACAACCGCTCCAGAATGCGTGAGGGTTTGTGCCACGGAGAGACCTAGCAAAGCTATCATCGTAACCCATAACAGTTCCTAAAACAGATATGTGCTTATTGCTTTTGTCCGTACATGCTGCATTCACTATTATGGATTACAGACAGAAGTACTGTACAGCTCGGACGGACAGACAGTTACATTCAGGACCAACCAACGGCTTTTTCACAAGGGGAAGGGACAAAACGCAGTGGGCTCGCATGGTTATAGTCTTCCTCCAGCGTGCGCCTCCGCTCCCGAGTCCCGTGCCTCCGCACGCCCCAAGACCTGTTGCATGCAGATAGCTACACGCCCCGGCAGGTGCTCCGAAATAGGTCAGGAAACACTTATTGACAGAGTTATTTACAACTGAGTTTTACAGTAGAAACGGATAACAACATAAAAGATTACCATCACAGTTATCACAGGACAGGTTGTGACTTGCTACCGGTGTGTAACAAATCACAGTCACGACAGGAGGCACAAATTAAAATAGTGCTTGATTAAAGTGCTTGATTGTTACACTCTGCTATCCTACTCCAGCATTGCAACAACAACAAAAAGTCAACGTAAAGTGCTTTTCCCCCCCAGTATTAAAAACCAAAGACAAATTATTTCCTACACAATTTGACAGAACTTTATTGAAACAATAATATTTTAAAAACCTAGGCTGGTGGCTGCTAGTTCTGTTCACTTAAAATGGTCAAATCTTTTTTTTTTTATTATTTTTTTTTATTATTTTTTTCTTCTTTCACTTAAAAATGAGTGGATGCTATTAAAACATCAGGCCTGGTCCTGCTGTCTCTGGCAATCTCCCTGCGCTGCTGGATGCACCAACACGACAGGAGATGCTCCCACCCAACCTCCTCACAAGAGAGAGCACAACCAGGCCCGGGGCGGGTAGCTAAAGAATCCCTCTTTTTGCATATTTATGTAACGCTTGCATATCTTTCACCACGCCACGTGGGCGCGAAAAGCTTCAGACCAACTGGTTCCTCTCCTACGCCAAGGGCGAGACTTCAGCTGATGCCTGAAGTCAGGGCGCGGGCGGGAAGGGTAGGACCGAGGAGCCGGCCATGCTCGGACCAAACCTAGGGCCAGCTACTGCACTCGGCCATCCCTGTAGGGCCGGGAGCTGCCATGGTGCAGCCAGGAGCCCAGAGAGGAGCTGAGCTCCCCTTCTAACCCCACGCTCCCCAGCTGCGGGAAGGGGGCTGTGATGCTGCCGGAGATCCCTGCTTCTGCATGGCTCCTTCACACCTTCCCAGCATGGGCTGTGTGTGCCCCGAGGGCCACGTGCTGGCCCAAGGGCAGCTTTTAATTTTAGCAGAGGGTAAGTGCGAGTTTCACTACGTCCTAAGGGGTGTTTGGAGTTAGATACAAGTGGTGCAACTCACCCTGCTGATGTTTCAAAAGAAAACGTCAGGTCCTACAGGATATAGTATTGTTAAACACACACAGAGCATTTTAATAACTGGTTTCTCTAGACCGCTATTTGTTTTAAATGGTTTTCACTTGGATTTTTCTAATAATGCAAGTGTTCCCTGTTACCTTTAGACATAATATCCATCAGAGAAAGCTGTAGATGAGGAACAGCTGCCCTGAAGCAGAGAGCATTGTGTTTTAGATAGCTTTATACCAACCCCAGCAAATTATTCCAGAGTTCATATCTGGCTGCCTTGGCATCCTTTATGGAACTAACGCAAATCAGGTGTTAATATTTCCAAAAGGAGCTCTAGCGTTCAAGGGGAATGGATGGATATTTGGTCACATTGGCTTCACTGGACAACATGAAAGGAGATCAATGTGTGATCATGATTTGCAATCCTTATTTTTTGACTGATGTGGGCAATGTCTTTAGAGTTGTTTCAGAGAAGGACATTTTCACAAACCCACACTGGACCTCCCCTCAGACTTTTAGAAACAGATGGCTTGTTTCAGCCAAGTTCATGCCATGCAGAAGCTCTTTTTTTTTTGTTTGTTTGTTTTTTTTTGTTTTTTGTTTTTCCTTTTTTGTTTTTGAGTTGACTGTATGGACATTCCCTTAAACTTTCAGTAAGTTATCTTGGAGCCTGTTCAGATGCTTTGATCATGTGTGTTAGCATGTCCTCCACTGCCTGGTAATACGTGGACTTCTGGGGAAATGTGATTTTCTAGTCTGACAGTCTCCTGATTGCCCTGGGTTCTTCCAGTGATACCTTCCATAGAATAAATGCAGTTTTGCCCTATTAGCTTAGGGGAGGTGGGTAAAGCAGCAGCTTCTAGATGGTTCTTCTCTGTTCTATAAACATTGTCCTTTTGCTTTAGATAACCAATGTTTGTAACATTGTACTTAGGACTCACATTTCCAGGAGGACTTGAATCATAAAGCAGCTGACCTTCGTCATCAGTGTCAGCATCTATGTATTTGTGAATGCCGGCATCATGGAAGTTGAAAGCTATGGCTGTCTGTGTCTCTGGTGACTTTGGAGGTGTTCTTGCACTTGCAGTTGTGTAGATGGAGGTTTCTGGGCTCATGAGAGATCTGTCAGAGAGTAAAGAAGTATCTGTGGCGGTGGCAGAAGCAGCTCCTCTGCTCTTGAGAGTGTCTGGATATATTCTCAGGACATTTGACGCTGGTACTAGTGTGCTGGCATCCTCCTCCATGAAGTTGACTTTCAGAGATCTTAGTTTTAAAGGGTTACTGGCCTTTATGGAGCTTTTTGGACTTTCTATGAAAAAAGCAGAACGGTGGCTGCCTTCAGAGCTTATTTCTGCAAATCTGGCACTACTCCCTTCTGCTCTGCTCTGCTCCTGAATCACATTAACGCCACCTTTGCAGGGAAGTGTGGCAAGTGGGCTGTGGGAAAACCTCCCAGAGTCAGGGAACTCTGCAGCACAACTTATGAAGCTGTCAATACTGGACATACTCCTCATGTCAATGATCCCATCGGTGCGAGTTGTCAGCAAGGGCACCATAGGGCCGGGAAGGGTCTCCATTTCTAGCTCTTCCTTTTGCTTTCCAGGTTGACTTGACTCTTTAGTGTTAAGGTTTGGCTGTGACTGAGTCTTTGCCATTTTGTTATACATGTCTTCTAGCTGTTGGACATTCAGGTGCTGGGGGCTTGAAGATGACCTAGCTTTTTCTGGAGATCCTTGTTCTTTAGTTTCAAAAGATTTACTAGAGCTAGTTTCAGAGAGTGTTCTCTTGGTCCATTTCCACTTGTTGGGAGATAAATGATTGTCCTGAACTTTATCCTTTTTGGCTATGCTTTCTCCATTCTTTTCAACCACAATGTCCATAAGTTCTATACTACGGGCAAATGCATCCTTCATGTTCATGGAGACGATACTACCATTCCTTTTGGCCCTTTCAAGAGCTTCTCTGCGCTTAATGGCTTTCTCTTGCCTCTTCTGCTCTTTGTAGAACTCAGAGAAGTTATTGACAATAATTGGGATAGGAAGAGCAATCACCAGCACTCCAGCAATGCAGCACAGTCCTCCTACTATTTTACCTAAAAGTGTTTTGGGGTAGATATCTCCATAGCCTACTGTTGTCATGGTGATTGTTGCCCACCAGAAGGAAGCTGGGATGCTCTTGAATTTTGTATCGTCCTCATCTTTTTCTGCAAAAAACACTAAGCTGGAAAAGATCATAATGCCCATGGCCAAAAACAAGATGAGTAAGCCAAGCTCATTGTAACTTCTCCTCAGTGTAAACCCCAAGGATTGTAAACCCGTTGAGTGCCGGGCAAGCTTTAGAATCCGGAGTATCCTCATAATCCGAAATATTTGGACCACTCGTCGTACATTTTGGAACTGAAGTACACTTTTATTGGATTCTGTGAGAAAGATAGTGACATAGTATGGTAGGATAGCTAGCAAATCAATAGCATTCAGTGGACCTTTGAAAAACTTCCATTTCTTAGGCGAGGATAGGAACCGCAAGAGGTATTCCATTGTAAACCATGCAATGCACACTGCTTCCACATGGGCAAGTTGAGGATTATCTGTCGTCTGCCCAAATTCATCCATGCCTTGTAATTCAGGAAGTGTGTTTAGGGACAAGGCAATTGTAGATAGTACAATAAACATGATGGAAATGATTGCCAAAATCTGGAAAGGAAAGAAAAGACAGTGAGTTTGGCTCAGAATATATTACATGATCTACCTTTGCATTTCACATGTACCATCACATTAATACACATGGCTGTGCTTCCATTTATGAATTTCTAGACTAATTTAGCATTTAGTACATGGAAATGCATCCTGAAGTGATTCTATTTTGAAAACTGCTTTGAGTTATATCAGATGCATAGAGCAGATAAAACATCTACTTTGTCTCCTGTGCATTTATCTCATTCATTTTCAGTGTGTTCCAAGCAGCTAGGATGCCAGAAGGACTGTGAAGCAGTTCACAGCAGGACCTTTTGATTAACTACTAATTAGGTGCCCAACAAAGCCCATCTGGACAACCATCTCTGAAATCTAAGCATGAGGGAATGTAATTGTGAATGCAAGATTCAGTCACAGTGATGTCCTCCATTTAATGCATGGCTATGTCTACTATTTTTGCTTGCCTGTGGCTTATTATAGTGATGTGTGTATATTTTCACTACATGTCAGTGCACAAGTAATATACTCTTTTTGAATGTTTCATCTCTAATTTGAAACTCTACAGTTGTGAAAGACACAAAAAATGTTCTAAAGCTTTCTAAAGTTTTTTGAGATGTGAGCTTTTCTGTGTATAAACAAATGGCCATCCCAGCTCCTCACCACAACAAGGGAAGACAGCAAACCCAGCCAGGTGAATGGAACTGCACAACAACGAGACAGCCTAGACAGGGCAAATCCAGCCAGTGGAAAGCTGTGCCCCCGGTAGAAACCAGATCTTGAGAACAAGAGTGTGCAAAGAGATGAGAAGGCTTTGCAGTGAGAAACCTTTCTGAGAAAAATCACATACACATGCTCAGCTCCTGGGCCATTGGCTTTATGCAGAACTGGAAAGCATGAAATGCTAGATTAGCATGTTTGCAGTGTTCAGATACTGTAGGCAGACTGTCCTTCATATCTGTTTTAATTCTGTTCTTTCCAGTTTCCCTAATTACGTTTTCTTTTAAAGTCATTTGAGGGAGGTTTTAGAGCTGACAGACAATTTGAGGAATGTTTTTTTTCTACTAGTGAGTTCTTTCTCTAGCTTGTTAATTGGGTAGGAATATATCTAGTTTCTTAGGTTACTGCCAAAATACAGAAATGGTTTCAAAACACATGTGTACGTGACTAATGTTTTATGCATTCATGGCAGTGTAAGCTGGTCCCTTATGCTTGCTTTTCTTCCGCTTGAGATAGAAAAGAAGCATAAAATCAATTGCAAAATATGTGTGTGATGACTAAATACACAATACGAAGCAATGAATTATAAGATGTATGACAGGAGTTCTGCATCATGAATTGCAAATCTGACATGCTCTGAGCCCATGTCCTTCCTTGCCCATATAACTGGATAGCAGCTTTCCTCACAGCAATGTCTCTCAGCCAGCTTCACAACACCAGAATGTCCACAGTAACCACACGGGGCTCTGCAGAAAGAAATTCTTGCAGGATGTCTCTTCAGACAAATCCAGCACAGATATTCTAGTGGTCAGGAGCTATCAGACTGTTGAATGCACAGTCCCTACAGCAGTACAAGCCTTGTTACTGTACAAGAAACACGCAGACGCAATATGGATTAGAAACACTTTAGTTGTCTCTGGAAGAGCCTCAAATCTTCTCCGAAGCTGAAAGACAGAAGTGTTCTGCAAAGGTTGGAAGCTTCACTTGAATTAAATTCAACTTGAATTAAATTCAGCTACTGTTTTTGGAGAAAAGTCAGCTCACACACCTTCAAAAAATCCAAATTTAAAGTAAGACTTTCAATTTTGACAGTTTGACTTCTAAAAGTGTTCTAAAATCTCCTTGCAGGTTAAAAAACCCTTCCTAATCAATGTAACAAAAAACATCTACATTTAAATCACTGAAAATGTAACTTTGATTTGACCATGACAGTGCAGACCTAGTAATTTAATCTGAAGAATGAAATCTGACTAGAAACAAACATTAGTTCCATTAAACAATCTGTTTTCATTGCTTAAATTGGATTAAATGAAAAAAAGTGAATGGTGTAAATGCCTTCCTCTGCAATGCTGGGAATTTTAAAATATCATCACTTTCAGTTACTTCATATTTACTAGGAGAAATGCAGGGAAGATTTCCTTTCTTTTTAAAACAGATTGTTTATAGGAAAGTTTGGTGTTAGGTGTATAAAAATGTATTCACTGAAGACAATCTACTGATAGGAAACAACTTCAAAATGAATCTCTGCATTTCAGTTAATTGAGTAGTAGGAAGAGGTCAGCAGAAATACAATCTGGCTTATGAGCAATCAGAAGAAGCAACCATCTAAGCTTACTCATGGATTCTGCTTCTATTTGGCTGAAAGAAAAGGTGAAAAATGAGGCGAAACTGATGGAGATATTTTGATAGAGGACTTTATGCTGAAGTGGGGAGAAATTCAGACAGCTATTTCTGCAGATTAATTTGAAAGATCACCTCCTAAAGACCAGAAAATTTTCCCAGAAGCAGGGAGCCACATTTGCTTTCCTAGAAGGCTCTTTCAGTGTTTTGCAGCGATTTTTTTGTTTACAACTTGTGATTTCTGAAGGTGTTTGGGATGTTTTCAATAGCAGTTTCCAATTTCTTGCTGGGCTTTATCTCTGCCCACTATGCACAGAGGGGCTTATTTGTAGACTTAAATGTACCTCGTGTGTTTTATCTCCTTCGTTTTCAGTGTAAATATTATCACTCCATCTTTATTCAGTGGATGCCATCCAGAAGCAGTAATTGGTGTCAAACCTTGTTTCTTTTGATATACTTTACTGCTTTGAAGATCAAGGCAATGCCAGATGAACATAAATTTGAAAACTAGGAGATCCGAGGGTAAAATTTGTTTTTAGTCTAGCAGATCTAGCCATGGAGCAAAGCAATAAACAGACAGAGACATTTATCATTTCTCCAGCAAGTTGCAGCGAGATGTTACCTGTATTCCTAAGATAAAGATTTTCTCCTTTGTTGGTCTGCTGCAATCATACATCTTTAGAAGGCTGTCAGGCTAAGAAAAACTTCCAAATGTGGGTTGACTGTCCTCAAGTATTCAGAGCACTTTTCAGTTGAAAAATACCAAAACAACAGAGGATAAATTTATCAAGAAGGCGTTTTAGAGGATCCTTCTCTAAGACATGTCTTGCAGTGTGCACCACCCAAAAACCCACCTGACGAGCAGCTGTCTGCAGCAAACAGGATCTAGTTGCTGTTGCTGCCAAGCATTAGCAGTGCGTTCAATGGCACAACTCTCTATACCAAATATTTACAATCTCGTATATTAGGTTACAGAAACGACCGTCTGTCTGTCTGATGGAACTTCCTATCACAGACATACTGATTCTATGGCACTGCAGCTTTTGCATTTTCCATTGTCAGTAATGAGACACAGAAAGTGGAAGGAAAGATACACTACTACGAGTGCTTATCATAGAATCATACAATCATTATGGTTGGAAAGACCAATAAGATCATCTAGTTCAACCACCAACTCATGACTACTCTAGACCCATAACCACAGTGCCCACTAAACAATACCTCTCAGTGCAACATCTACCCTTTTCTCAAACACCTTTAGGGGTGGTGACTCCACCACCTTGTTGGGCAGCCTGTTTCAATACCTCACACTCTAGGGGTGCTCAGTGTGATTGCCAGCCCTTCCATGCAATTCCCACCATTCTCTCTTTCCTTTGCTCTTCCAGGTTCACTTTTGAGCCATATGCTTCTGATGCCATGTTTCCAGGACCATTTCTTCTAGAAGGTTGCATGAAATAAGCTGTGTAAGTTCCTCCCCTTTCTCTATTTCTGCATTTGCTTTTACATTTCACCTGCTGCAGCACACCATAAGTGGTGAATTTCCCCATCAGGTACTTTACTCAGTGGCTCGCAGAGGGTGTTGGACTGGCTCTTAAAGACAGCACTGTCTTGCAGTGCACGACTCAGTATGTACAGGGCAGGGTTCCAGAAAATAGTCAAATAGTCTGTTCTGCAAAGACTTTTACTGTGTGAATCTGTATTGCTGGTATGATTTCTTTGTGGAAGCTGAATAACCCAAGGGCAGGCAGGGCAAACTTTTGAATGAATTTAAAGCACTTTCCTGGAAGTGATTAGCATGACTGTGCATACAGGCTGGTTATTACAGATGCAAATGAGACGTGCAAGCTGATTATGTGAGTAAGTTGCAGAATTTGGTGGGCAGCAAAACTGCAAGTGCTATCCCACAGGTGGGGTAAGTTTCAGGCAGTGTTAGGTTTGGTAATATGCATCTGGTCTTTGCACTGCAAAGAACCCTAACTAATGTCAAAGTATAAGACTGGAGATTCTCAAAGCCATTGAAATGAATGACAATAGGCTGTCCAAATCCCATAGATGGCTCTAAAATCCCAGTGTAAGCATCTGAGCTCTATCTGCTCATGGCAACATGCCCTATACTTTTTCTGTCTTCATCCTCAGTAATGAAGCTGATATAGAAAGGAGAAGGGGTGGTGTGTGGGAGAGAGTAGGAGGGTGTTTGAATATAGATAGATTCAATATTCTTGGAAATACGATGAGGAAATTGTTATGTAATCAAGAAGTTCAATAATGGTTTAGTCTAATGCACTTTTTTAGCTCCATGAGGACATGCAGAATAAACTTGGCAGCAGGACCGGGTTTCATTCATATGCTCCATTTACTAAGGGATTTTTCCTGCAGCCTTCCCATTTCCCCAAGCAAACAATATACTTGGAGTCAGACTGCCCAGCTCCCTCCTGCCGTGCTGATGCCAGCCCATGTCTCCCCAGGCCCTGAGACACAGATCATAATGTATTTTGAGCCATACCCCACAGAAACAGATGGAGAGTTCCTTAATCTCCTCCCCACTTTGTGGAGCACAGGGGAATATCACCCACTCACAGCAGGTATTTATTAACAGGGACTTGCTTTGGGAAACACCTCTTCACTAGAAAATGCCTACTTATTCTGAAACTCTGAAGAATATT